AGTTATGAACTACCAAAGTTTCAGGACCAATGGAAGTGTTTCTGTCCATGATGTGCCCGAACCTGAGTTGTTTGTCGAGGAAGGCGATCCTGTTTTCCCGATCGCGGCCGCTGCCGATCGAGCCCTGCGAACAGGCGATGGCGAGGTTCCTGAGTATGCAACCAGGGATGTTCCTTTCATTCCTGAAGGCATTCCTGCCCCGTCAACTCCGTCAGGCTTTAAGACTTAATTATACCCCCGAATCATACCCGCGAATCATACCTGCGAATCATACTCCGTACTCAAACCCAGGGTGCTTTCTTTAGTGGGGGAAGTGCCCAGGATGATCCCCTGCTGTCCCAGTTTGGTGCCCAGGGGTGACCCGCTGTCCCAGTTTGATGGGAAAAGTGCAGGGCCTTCCTAAAAAAATACAAGCCCAAGTCAAGAAGTGTGTACATCACCATTGAACGGATCATAAAGTTCAAGGAGACTCCTGGATGCAAGGCCTGCGCCGGCCATGCTAGTTCTAGGCATCACACTGACGAATGCCGCAAAAGGTTTGCAGAGCTAGTTGAAAGTGAAAAGGAAGAAGCAAAGGCCAAAACGGCCGCAAGTGAGGAGGCCGCCAAACCAAGTAAGGGTGCAGATGAGGCAGCTGCTATACGCGCTGCAAAGGCGTCTTCTCTAGAACCCCCAGAGGCCCCAGAGATCGAGGCACCTGAGGAAGGAGATTTGGATGTCGCCCGTGCCTTGCTTGGAGAGCCCGCCTCTTCTCAGCCCAGTGTTGCGCATGCCGACGCTGTCCCCGCATCAACCAAAAAGGATGAATGGGTTTTTAAGCCTAGTGGTAACGTGTTAATCCGCGTGCATCATCAGCCTAGGACGAAACTCTTCACTCCCAAGGATGTCGGTGATTGTCGTGTGCAGAATCACACCCGGTAGGACCACTCGCATCGTGTCCGAGCAAGATGGTAGCAAGGAAGATTTCAGTGATGGTTGGGCAGGCAGATTCTCAGCACATCGAGAACTCCCTGGACTCTGGACTGGCATTACCATTTTTGGTTATATAGTGATTCCGAGCATTCGGCTGCAGCTTTAAGCGCAGCAGGGGGCTCAGTCCTCACGAGGGTAACATCCCTGTCAGCTCAGCAGCAGCCGTCGCCGTGTCAACCGCATCCAGCACAACACTTGCTGAGACCACGAGAGAGAAGCCATCCGTTTTCGGTAACCCTTGCCAGCTTCAGGGGGCGATGAACGCCCTCCGTTTACTGGTGGCAACAAGCGTGCTCGCAAGCGCCTAGCGCGTGATGCTGTTGGCCCGATGGTTGAATTTGCTTGTTCACATAATTCCTCAATGGGTAATGTGTTCAAGAATATCTTAACGTCCGACATGTCCGATTAGCAAAGGAGTACATTGACTTAGAGTCAGCCGTTGCGGATGAGCAGCTCGCGTATCAACTCTCGCAGTGTGTCCGACCCAACTTGTGGGCAGCCATTCCATGTGTCTCAGGATCACCTTGGCAAAGGCTGAGCCTCCATAGGTTAGGAAAGCCGTTCAAGAAAAAGTGAGGGGAAAAAGTCAAGCAATCCAAGTTGATGTTTTCAAAGTTTGCAACGCACGCAGAGCATGTTTTGAAGGCTGGTGGATCAGTCACTTTCGAGTGGCCGCGTGACTGCGAAGGTTGGCAGAGGCCAGCTGTAGCCGAGTTTTTCGAACGCCACAAGGATGTGTTCCATGGTGCTTTGTTTCATGGCTGTGCTGTTGGTTTGACGGATGAAAATGGTTTACCCATCAAGAAGCCTTGGCACATCAAAACTACATCAAAGGCTCTTGCCGAAGCATTCGCTGATCGCCAGTGTCCGCACTCAAAGTCCGAAAAACACACTCCAGCGGCAGGGAGCCGTGCATTCTACCCTGAACACATGTGTGGTTTGATTGCCAAAGCGTTGTATCCCAAAATTTGTAGGATTCCGGTTCATGCAAAGCCTGTTGTTCCAGTCACTCAGCAGACGGAGCATCGTGTTAAGGAGCAATCCCTGAAGCACGAATCTCCTCTTTCCGGAGCAGATGACTTCCCTCCTCGTTGAATCAGACTCTAAAACAAAAGAGATTGTTGAGGAACTCCTTGATGTCCAAGGTCTACTTGCTACTGCTGTCGGCATGCCCGCCAAGGCTGTCGAGACAGAAGCGCATGCAATGGTCACTAAACTCCTGTCCCGTGCTGAGATGCTTGCATCTCCTGAAGCATTGGAAGCAGTCAAGCAGGAGGCGACCGGACTTCAAGACATCGGAGTATGGGATAGTTCAACTGTACGGGAGAAGGCTGAGGTCGCAGCTCAAGCGCGACAGTCTGGGATCAAGGTGCACGTTGGTCAACTCATGACGATCGCCAGCATCAAGTTCTATGAACTTGCAAAGCACCTCCAAAAAGTAAAGGGGCGCATCGTGTTCAGGGGAGACTGTGCAAAAGATGAACCGGTGCACCCGGAACTGGGGGCCAACCCCACCTCGGTACAAGGCTTAACCGCCTGTTACCACCGCTGACGCGGTAAAGGCCTACATCCAGGCATTCCTTAGCTCGCAATTCCAGACGTGGATCGAACTCCCGCCTGAGCTGCGGCCAAAGGAGTGGGGTTCCAAGTTGTAAAACCCGTGGTCTTGTTGATCCGTGCCCTATATGGTCACCCCGACGCAGGAGGTCTGTGGGAGGGACACCTTAAGAAACTGCTCACTCCCAGAGTTTCCTGGAAACTTTTTCTTTAAAGGGGTAGGCCTTATGCTCTCGACGACGTACGTCGATCACTTGACCCTCTCAGGTCCCGCAGATGCACATGAAGCCTTTTGGGCAAAGCTTACAAAAATGATAAATGTAGCGCCTCCCGAGCCGATCTTTCGGGTGCTTGGGCGTAATCATGTCTTCATACATGGCCCGCAGAGCCTCAAGAGCATGATCTGAATGCAGCTGTAAGCGCATCAAAGGGTGCCGTTGCCTTTGACATGAACGACTATGCCCGTCAAACTGTAGAACTGTTTTGTTCTAGAACCGGCACTCAACCCCAAAAAAGCTCTGGAAGGTAAAGACGGATCACTTCCTCCAGAAGATGATCAGCCAGCTGGTGAGCTAGCCCCAAACGCGTGCAAACTCCTCATGAAGGCCTTATGGCCGGGACGACTGGCGCATCCTGATATCATCAAGCCCATAGGTGACTTAGCCACCGCCGTGCAGAAGTGGTCTCGCAACCACGATAGGCAACTCGCCCGTCTTATCGCGTACATCCACTCGACGACGCACTACCGGTTGGTAGGAGTCATAAAGGATAGTCCGCAAAGAGCCGAACACCCATTTCCCGTTAGCGTGGTTGAGCAAACGACAGACATCAGTGTCGAGGTCCACCACCGAAGCCGAGGTTGTTTCACTCACGTTCTCTTTCTAACAAGAGGGTCTTCCCTCCTTGACTCTGTGGGAACGTTTGCTTGGACGCCCGGTTGAACTGGTGCTACACGAAGACAACCAAGCCACTATCCTGGTTGCTAAGAAAGGTTGCTCCCCAAAAATGCGGCACATACAGCGCACTCCTAAAGTGAACTTGTCCGCACTTGCAGAGCAACTTGAACCTGGCACAGGTGTAGTGATCAAGTACGTAGCGACCGATCTCCAGGCAGCCGACATCTTCACAAAAGCACTACAACCCTTGAAGTGGGACCACGCTCTCAAGCTTTTGGGCATCAGAACAAATTTGCCCGAAAAGTTGAAGGATGTCCGGCCTGAGATGACCAAGCAGTGAGAAAAGTGCAGAAATCTTAGGTAAGCCCTCTTATTGGTCTGGTAAAGACCTTGCATCACATGGGTCGCAGCTCAAGTGCGACTGTAAAGTACAAGTCTCTTAAGTAGTGAGCACGGGGAGGGGTTGAAAAATCACGGCCCCTTGACCCCCCACAAGGGTGTGCATGCATGTGATGTTAGAGGCCCCGTTGATTGCACGTTCCAAGACATGTCGAATGCGAATGTGCGTTTGGCTCAAGTATCAATGCCCATATCAAAACAGGTTTGCACTCGCCTACCCGACTGGGGTTAATAAAGGTCCCGGTTTCTGGTTCGCTGTGTTTCTTTCCCTGTGAGTGTTATACCTCAACTCTGGCAGGCGTACTTCGGGGTGCTGGCGTATCCTGGATTAAAGGCTGAAGATTGAAGTTTTAAATACCACTTTGGCGAAGCTTCAATCCACATGTTGACAATTGACGATTGAAGATTCCCAGAAAGCGTTGTGTGAGAATCTTGAATTTCCAATCCAACATGTACGGCAAGTGCGAGCACATCCACAATGTAAGTCTAAAAACATGCATTTGTGTAGTAGTTTGCATTTTTCCTGGGAAAATGCCCGTTCTGGCCAGAAACCTGAGTTCTCCAGGCGCGGTACCGTTGTAAAGTATATATATTATATACATATATACATATTGTGTGGGGTGACATGGGTGTGGTTTTCTCGATTGGAGTCATCGGTACACCAGTTTTTGTCCGAGCACGTTAGTCCCCCGGAAATTCCTCTGATTGGCTGAGGGCCCCTTCGCTAGAAATCCCAACAACTGCTTCCCATGTCATCCCTGTGATGTCCAAGAGGTTTCTTCAATTCATTTTATGTAATTAGTATCGGGCGATTCAAACATTCTTGGGCCACTTTGAACGGAGCTTTCTTGGCGTGATGCTTGGGCACATAAGGCACCCTGCTGAGAATCGGTCACCTACGTACCCACAAAGCCCCGTTTTTTTATGGAACCCCATCGCTGGAGTGGTGGCTTTGGGATTTGGAATTCCTGGCGCTTGAGGGTAACAATGCCACCACTTCCATAGAGGGAAGCGGAAGAAACGCCGGTGATTCAGACATGATGTGTTTTGCAATCTTGAAAGACTTTTCTGCTGGGGTGAGGTGTGAACCACCAAGAAAAAAAACTTTTCTTTGGTCACATGAATACCCCGTGTCGGAAAGTCCTTCTGAGAAGCCCCTCTGACTGACAGCGTGCCAGGAAGACGTGGCCGCCATGCTCGCCGCTCTGAAACGGGTGCGGGCCATGGTGGAGCAGCCGAGCCTGCAGAAGCATGGCCAAAGATGTGAAGGGCCCGGGAACTGCCTGGAATTTGATCTTTCTCTGCAAGAAAGTGAAAAAAACACAGTTTGCCGATCGTTTTTTGTTGGTTGTTTTTTTCTTTCAAGCTGAAAATCACAGTTTGCCGATTGTGTTTTGTTTTGCCCTTTTCTTTCTTTTTTCCTGAAAGGTTCCTTGAAGCTATGAGTCTCATACATCGCTAAAGCCCAAATTTTGCCGAAATCGGATCTGGATCGATCTGTCTCTGTTGGAGTCTTCAGCCCGTGGGGGTTTGCTGGGCTCATCCGCTGGAGCAGAAAAGAGTGGGGGGGCTCACAAAGTGTTGAACCCCTCTTGAGCCACGTGCTCAAAACCCAGGTAGATGAAGGTTAGCAAGGGACAATCTGCGGCCGCCTTCTTAATTTTTTACATGGTTCTGGGTCGACCATTTTAGTACCAGGTTTTGATTATGACTCTCTTGGTCTTGGGAGCCCAAAAGAAAGCCCAAAGGCGAAACCCAAAGTTTCTCGACGTTGAGAAAGGGGACACTTGGCGGTTCCCAGTACGGTTTCTCAGACTTTCGCTTTTTTGGCCTTTGAATTTGTGACATCCACCACGCAAAGCTTAGCTTTTAGCAAGGGATCAACCGAACCACTGGCCGAACCCCTCAACGAACCAGACCTGTCGGCAAGGAAGTACTTCGACGGCTTCGTGGTGAAGCCCCCTGAGGACGAGGATCGAAATTCGGAGTCGCGAAGTCGGAGCCAAGTTCCGTTGGACGCGGCTGGGGTCCAATCCCGACATGGGAAAAGAATCGCATCGTGGCATCCATGGGTCCGTTTTGCCGAAGAGTTGAGGAATCCTCGGAAGCCACTCGTTGAAGTCTCTTTTCCGTGGGGTAACCTCATGGGTCAGTTCTGTTGGTATAGATCCCAAATGATCAGAACCATGGCTCCATTCCAAAAAGCCCAGCCCCCGTACAAGCGAGACCCCTTTTGGGCGGCTTTGGTGGGTTTTCATCCCAACCGGTGCTTCATTTATATTGGGGCTGCTTGGGGACATGTATCAGGGCGATCGATCCAGGGTAACTGGGGGGCAGCGCCGAAGGGAGGCATTGTTCATAGTTGTTGTTTGGACACATGTTGTTTGCATTGTTGCTTATTGTGGTTGAGTGGTGGAAATCCAACCACTTAGCCGCAAATTAAACAAAACAAAATGTGTCCTCCCCTTTCCAACGGCGACCGAGTTGGGCGTCCGCAGGGAAGCTGCCAACGGCACATCCACAGAGTCGTCCCCCCCCTTCCGCCAGGCCGCGCAGCGGAGCTTCGTGCGCCGGCAGCTCCGCACCACCTGGCGCGGACAACGCCGGTCGGTTGGTCGCGTGGGGGGGTCGCTTGAAAAAAAAAAACGCACCGGTGCGGTGGTGGTGGTCAAAACCGTTTTGGGATCCCATTTTGGCTGTGAGGTGAATTCACCACCCATTTTAGGACCTATTTTAGTGGTTGGATTGAATCGGATCTTCACTGGTACGATTTGGATGTTGACCCTTGGCAGCTGCGCTGGTTGTTCCCGTGGATTTGGTTGTTGCCACTCAAATATGCCTCACTAGTTCACAGCTAGTAAGATTTAAAATCTTTCGGCGGGTCCTCCCTAAAACCACCCAACAAAAACCTTCTTTTCAGAAGGCCACCAAAACGCTTCAAGGGGAAACAGCTGCTTTTTGAAGAACTATGGCTGAAAGAATTGGGAATTAACCCCTAGAACTATGCATGTATACATATATATATATATATACAGATATATACATATCAGGCTGAAAAACCCTGCGCCAAGCCCTCCAACCACCAACTGACAATCCAAACCACCAACTGAAAGGGGCAACCTGAGAAGGGGGGGGTGCGCTTCGCGACAAATCCAACGAACAAAAACAACTCGAAAGAAGTGCACTGTTGGCTGCAGGGAAACTACCCTGCCTCCCACTAACATAGCACCTGACAGAGGGTCTCTTCAAGAAGTTCATCTTCCTCCAGAAGTGCCTTCTCGCGGGGGTGGGGGTCTTCCAAGCCACTGGCCGGGAGCCAGCAGAGACTCTCCGACAGACCGGTTCCAATTTGGCTTGAGGGAAGCCCCAGACCGGAAGCCCCTGACATGTTTGCTCCTCTTGAACCCAGGGTTTTGTTGGCTGTAGGTCAGCTGATGCATGTCAAGCCCTGAAAACCCCAGCATTTGGTTGGTACGTCTGCAGGGTGAAGATGGCTGTTGCAAGCAACCGCAATCTTTTGAGTTCTCCTTGGAAGCTTTGGAACCAAGCCACGGGTTCCAAAGGTAGGGTGAAACCATGCGAGTCCATTCAAGCTGACCTAAGGACTAGCTCCTGCCCTTTTGTGTTGTCAAATTTCCCGAAACAACGACAGGGCGGGGGAATTGGGTCTCAAACTGAACGAACCCTTTCTGGGCGGCGGGATCTCAAATGGAAGGAAAACGCAATCATGTTCAAATCCCTTGGTCCAATAGTATTGAGTATGATCAAACACAATGACACAAAATCAAAGTCCTTTGGGTGACCAACACCCGGAGATGAGAGTTTCCGGAAGCTTTTGGGCCAGGCACTACTCCTGTACCACTCGCATGGGCAGAGCCTCCGACTCCGTTTGCGACCCCCGTGGCCGCGTCTATGGGGCGCCTGCGGTTGAAAAAACCGGGCGGAGTTGGTTGGGATGGGTCGGAGCTGTTTTTCACGGAAAGGGGGGGCGGGTTCAGAAAACCGCCTTTGTTTGTCTTGGGGAGGGGTGCCTGAATAGCGACAAACCCACATCCTGGTGCGAATGCTCGCGCTTCGATTCCTTGCTAGCCCTTTGGTCTTGCTCAGGATACAAAGCGGATCCGTCGGGGGGCCCTTCTTGTGTTCACAACGCCCCTCCACAGGCCTGTTCGTTTGGCCTCAAGCCGGCGTTCCCAAAGGCCACCCTCGGGGTCTTTGGGCAGCGAAGGTCGGCAAGCTGCGAGTGGCCGACGCAGGCCGGAGCTCGTGCATCGCAGAGTTGGGCAAGACGCCGGCATAGGGAGCAATCCAAACGAACCACTTGCAAGGCTCCCAGTGCTTGGCGTTTTGCCTCTGCACTTCACCATGTTCCTTTCGGACTTCAAAGGGTGCAGCCCAAGGTTGCCTAGGCAAATGGATCTGGGTTTGGCAATGCATACGGCGTGCAAAATTGCAATGGTCGAAGGCATTTCTGGAGATTCCGCATTGGCAGACTCGAGTCATTCGAGCTTTTTTGCTGGATACTGGAGCGCGGGTGATTGGACCCGTGTAATTAGCAGGTTCTAAACAGACCCCGCCCCACCAAAGAACAATTTGTGTGCGGCATCCATTTGCAGCCCGAACGGGTCACCCAATCGGTGTTTGCAAAGCAGCCTTTTGTCATGGTTCTTGCTTTGCGAGACGCAAGGGCTGATGCCGGAAGTCGTCGGCGGCAATATCAATGCGGCGATCCCTGGACAGCAGACAGCACAGCCCAGGGGGTCAGAGCATGCAAAACCATTCAAGGCTCGTGGCAGTCCTAGGCCACCGTGGTAATTCACCGCTTTGGAAAGAAAGACTTGGCATGAGACCCAACTCCCAGGCGTCTGCGCCTAGGTGTTCCCTCCATGGTTGGCTCCCTGCATGGCCATCGGGGGCGCGCCGCTCTTGTTCCTTACGGCTGAGTTTACCGGGAACAAAGTCTGTCGTTGTTTGCTCCCCCGATGGACGCCGCTTTCTCCGTGTGTTTCCTTTGTTTTTTTTCCTCCGTGTACCTGCGTTGGTTCGGTCAAGATACTCCAAATCGGCCAGGAGTTTTGGCCTGGCACAGGAACCTATGAAGATAGGACGGCTTTGAGGCGTCGAAAAGAATTGGAAGCCCTGGAAAGCACGCCATGAACGGCACACGCCGTCCCTCCGATGTATTCAATCGGTTCCCAGTCAACCCTCAGACTTTGGACTTGGGTGTAGAGGGAAGTGGTCCGTTCATCAGAGCGTATGCCTTTTGGCAAGGATGAACCTACCGCAAGGTAGCGCGTAGCAATGCAGGCCATTGCTCGCAGCCAAGGTGTATGATGATTGGCGATCGCCGCGTGGCGAAATCAGAGTTGCACCTTGGAGGGTGTCCAATTAACCGGGGGTCCCAACCCCCCCCCAGAAAAACAATGTTCTTAGGTGGTTTTACTACTACTCCTACTGCGTACTACTACGACTGCTACTTACTGCTACCACTACTACTGCTGCTACTACTACTGCTACGGCTACTGCTACGGCTACTGCTACGGCTACTGCTACGGCTACTGCTACGGCTACTGCTACGGCTACTACTAGACACGCTACCACTACTGCCACCATTATCACCGCTACTACTACCCGCTACTCCTACTACTGTTACCTACTGCTGTTACCTACTACTGCTACGACTACTCTACTACTACTACTACTACTACTACTACTACTACTACTACTACTACTACTACTACTACTACTCCTACGACTACTACTCCTCCTGCTGCTGCTGCTGCTGCTGCCACTACTAGTACTACTAATCACAGACTATTTACTACTAATTGCTACTACTTGCTACTAATTATCACTAATTACTACTTAGTACTAGTACTACTACTACTACTGCTGCTGCTGCTACTACTACTACTTTTTCTACTACTTCTACTTCTTACTACTACTACGTCTTACCACCTTTACCTACTACCTACTACCTACTACCTACTACCTACTACCTACTACCTACTACCTACTAGTCACTACTCGTATTTCTTACTAGTACTGAAACCAGACTAATTGCAACAATCAAGTATGTTGACCTGTTGATTGTGTATCCCAGGGGGATAATTTACGTCTAATTTAATCAGTCAAGGGTTCCGGAACCACCCCGAACCAGCCCGGAAACAACAAGAAGCTTGGGAAGAAGTTATAGCGGCGAAGCGCCCGCGACCGTGGTTCGGCATGGATTTGCAAACCCTTGGCGCTCGGAACTTCCAAGAAGTGCAGATGAAACACCCCATAGTTCCCGCAGCAAAACACAGATGGATCCCCCTGGTTTCAGTTAAGCTTAAAAAATGAATTCCATGGATTTTCCAATAGCACGCGGACCCTGGTCGGCATTACTGGGGTAACCCCTTCTAGGATTTGAAGATGGGGCTCGCATTGCCTCGAAGATGCCCTTGGCGTTGAGCAAGGTGCTTATAGATGTTTCGCACCAAGAAGTGATCAGGCATTTTCATCAGGTCTTACTGGGTGAGCCCCCCCTGATTACCTACTTGACCCGAAGTTAAGACTATGGGCGAACTGCTGCTAGACAAACCATTGAAATGGATAGTTAATCATTTAAACGGATGGCCAACGAGGTGTTTTTTCTGCAACACACGAAGATTTTCTGAAGTCGGGCTTGGGATTCGGACATGGCAAAACGGAGAGCCAAGACGTATACCCGTGGAAGTGAACCATGGGGACCGATCCTATTCTGAGAAACACAACACCACACCATCAACACAAAGGATCAAAGATGAAAACCGCATATGGATGTACATTCCCATGGTCAAGTTGGTGGACTAAAAAGCAAGTTGCAGGTTTCAGCTCACTTTTGCCGCGCTGATCCGACCTCACCAAAGAATGGGAGAATGGGGCTGCCAAATGGAGGAATGATCCAACTTTAGGTCCAGAAGCGTGCAGCTTGCCGCAGGAATTGGTTTCTTCATCAATGAGGACCACGGTGAGACTCGTGCAGGTATATAGATCGAGAAGAGCCAACCTGCCGGCAGAAGTCAGCGCGAGCCTTTGCCCCTTTTAGGGCGCTTGGGCTTTGCGAAAAGCCTTGGAATCCGACCTCAGCTAGTTCATGGTTGTGAACATGGGAGCTTGTTTTGGTTAAACTACTGGAAAATCGGTATAAAGTGATACAGTAGTGAGAAGTGGACCATGTTACTATCAAAGATGTTGGGCCCTTTTCGCTTTTCCACAACCATGCCCGTTTTGTTCCAGCATTCGGACGGATTTCCCACGAGCAGGTCGACCGCGCTTCGGGCTTCCGACGCCTAGTGTCAATATGTGGCTTGTCGAATGGAATGATTGCTCAGAGAAGCGTGTTTGGTATTGGAGAGGCATTTTTGAAGCCACCAGTTTTTGCTCTTTGCTTCTCCATGCGCAAAGTACGCCATGCGGAGGCGCCCTCCTTCATCGGGTTGTGCGTCGCTTTTTCCGCTCGACGGCATGGCGAATTTTTTGCATTATCCTTTTGGTCTGCTTGGCATGTCGAACAGGCGTTCACTTTGCAAATGCAGTGTTGAGAGCTTGTCAAGTGCAACCTTTTCTCGTGACTATTCACATTTGATTTGAATGCAGACGGACTTGTGCATAGTGTAGATCGCTTTTTGACCGCTATCAAGCTGCATGTTTTGCATCTTGAGTGCTTCGCATGGAAAAGTCACTCTACTCTGAATCATATCGAAGATATTGATTGCTGAGTTTTGCGGAGCTTTGATATATACCGCTAAGCATTTTGGAGCATATCACGGGCATTTTTCAGCTGTTCAGCTTGGATTTGATTTGTGGACGAGCCCAACTCCCATTTTCCATATACGTTTGGTGATATCTGGGTTTGCTTGATTTGCGGTGATACACATATCTGTGAGTGGCGTGTGACGAACCACTTGGAGACGGATATTTTCATGGTAGCGGAGCATTTGTGGTGATCCATATCTTCAGGGATGGCGTTTACACCAGACGCGGGATCTCAGGATGCAGATGTTTTTCAAGATGCAAGAGGTAGAGACGACGACCAGAATCTCGGCACTCCTCCTCGTTTGTTTGGGCCTAGGGCCAATGTGGGTGGAGGGAGTGCGTTTGACCCGCTTCAGACAAATGATCCGTGGGTTGCGTCTCCGGCTCCGCAGAGCGCGCTCACTGCAGAGCAGCTGCAGAAGCAGCTTGATGTTGTTTTGGGGAAATTCATGAATGACATTCAACAACAGACACAGAATTTGAGCAGTCTGGTGTCCTCAGTTGGCGCGAGGCTGACTGCCTTGGAACATGGCGGCGCGCCTGGAGGACAGTTTTCGCAAGGCAGAGCCAGCTCAGCACCTTCTGGAGGGCAAAGCAGCGTTTTTCCTGGAATGGCGCCCATGGGCCAGCAGTTGTTCGGGCCTCCAGTGCCTCAGCAGCCACAGCAGCAGCAATCTCAGGTTTTCCCAGTTTTTCCACAGCAGGCACCTCAAGCGCAGAACCCGGCATTTGCTACAGGCCAATTTGACCAGCAAATTTTGGGAGAAGGGAAGTTGCCATTTGGAATTGATATGCCGGTTCCTGACTTCAAGAATTGGAGGTCCAGAGCTCAGGAGATTCACGGATACCGGATGTGGATTGACAAATTCACGTCATGGTTGAGCATGATCAATGATTCCTATGCACGGGAAGCTCCAGAATGTCTTTGAATGTGAGAGTTGCATGTGAATTATTTGAGCTTCAAGCTCTGGGCTCCAACCTTTGGGCTCCAAGCTCTGCTTGGGCTCTAAGGTTTGAGCTCCAATTTTTGGGCTTGCAAGCTCTGGGCTCGAACCGTTCGGCTCCAAGCTCTGATGCTTAGGACTCTTCCCTTTTCATTTTTTTGGCAGGGCAGGACCCCGGGAAGACCGACCAGCAGCGGATTCGCAGCAGACCTTTGCTTAGCTGTGTCAGGCAAGCTTTGGCTGGTTTCGGACGGGCAGAACGCATCGTCGAGCACTACATGACACTGAACTCAGAGGGTGTTTCACCTGGATATGAATTACTGAGACGAGTGCATGCAGAGATGTCTATCCAGTCTCGCGCGGAATGTATGGGTTTTCGAGCCTCAATTTTGCAGTTCCATGTGAAAGAGAAGCAACTGACAGACGTGGTTCGAGCCATTGAGAGCGAGATCCACAGATGAGCCACAAGCAAAACCTGGGTAGATGAAGGTTAGAAAGGGGCAGTCCCAGCCAGAAATAGTTGCGGCCGCCTTCTTAATTCTTTACATGGTTCTGGGTAGACCATTTTAATACCGGGTTTTGATTGTGACTCAGATACGAATGGCATTGTTGACAGCTGCACTACGGTGGACGTGAAATATCTCCATCTTCACGAGGCAGACAAGTTTTTGCTTTTGCTCAGGAATCTGCCAGAACATGATTGCATTGCCAGGTAAATCGCCGGGCCTCAGATTTCGCTCAACTTTCAGCTGCAGTTTTGGATTATGACATCCAGACACGCGTTATGGGAGACACTGACTTTCGACTGTCTGCGCTGAAGGGGAAAGGAAAGGGCGACGGCAAGAACCCTAGTTCTCCTAAGGGTGGCCCACCTAGTCCTAAGGGACAGGGGAAGAAGGGGAAGGACCCGAAGGGGAAAAGCGATTCTAAGGGAAAAAAAGGTGGCAAACGGTCCTCTTCGGAAAGGGCGCTGGAGGAGGAGATGCTTTTTCTTGGAATTGCGGAAAGCCAGGGCATCAGTCGAAAGATTGCAAGTCGCCAAAGAAGACCGAGAAGGACCCGACCAAGCTGGGACCTTGCTGGAAATGCTGGAAAAATGGGCACATGAAGAAAGATTGCACTTTTTCTTTGGAAAGCGCGGAGTACGGAAACGAAGACAACCCCAGGGCTTTGATGACTCTGAAGCACAGAATGATGATCAGGCATGGAGAGATGAAATCCATGAACAGCACCAATCATGAGCCGCTTGAGCCGCCTGTTCACTCTGAGCGCGCTAGCGAGTCCGTGCACAGACAATCTCAGGACTCAGCGGGTAGATGGCTTTTAGACAGTGGAGCCACCAGTCACTGTGGCAAAGAAGTTTCTGTTTGCATACCGAGTGGTTCGCACCCACCATGAGAGTTGTGAGCTTAGAGCCGCAAATGACGAACTCATAGGCACTCATGGCATTGTTGATCTGCAGGTTCGGTTTCGGAGCGGTGAAAGCTCCAAGCCCAAAGCGCGGGTGTTGACGCGGTGCATAGTCGCAGACATCCCGTTCAACGTCATGTCGCCGTACGTGCTGGTCGCTCATGGTTGGGAGTGTCGGCTGGCTGTGGGACGCAAGTCTTGTTTGGTCTTTGGGGACCTTGAGCGTGGCGGGCAGTCGATTCCGCTTGAGTTGGATGACAGGTCCTGGTGGGCCAATGCCTCAATGGACACATATGCAGGGAACACCCCGAGAGGGAGCCCCAGAGGCCCTAAGGGGTGTTGACGCGTGCAAGTCTGAGACGCTTGAGCGTGTGTTTGCGGCTGTTGAGCGGGCCACTACCTACCAGACAGACCTTGTCGACGAAGGTTTGAGATTGGTTTTGGGGCTGTTTCGCATGCTAAGGAGTGATTTTTTTGTGACTCACGAACACGACGAAGGTGACACCTCGGAAGGACTTGTGTCTACGGAGGACGAGGAAGACCACGAACCATCTTGCCACGAGGGGCACCACCCTTTTATTTCAGCATGTCTTTCAGCGATCTGGGTTCAGACGCTGTTGGAGGGCTTGCCGAAGCGAGACCATTTCGGTCAACTGACACATGAGACTAGCCATTTCAAGCTGCATCAGCTGTCAGATTCATAAGGCGTCTCACATCGCGTCAATGGCTGGACTTCAGCGGAAGGCGCGTCATGCAGAGTTTCATACGGAGACTGGGTGGCTTTTACTCACTTTGCGGAGGGTCGGTTGAATCCAGCGGACCCATGACAAACTGTGGCGACAAAGTCCACGTGAGTCTTTTTCTGGGAGCGAGTTTGTTTGTCCTTGAGGCAGAGGAGGAAAACCTCAGCGCTGTTGAGGACGCCATGCTGTCCTTGGACGATTTGTCTTGGCTTCGTAGGGAACGGATCAAAAGATGTTTGTAGAGAGCTGTGGAACGTTTGAGACAGAAGAAGCAGAAAGAAGAAAGAGAGAGAGACAAGACGCGTGGGAAGAACATGAGAATTTCATTCAGTGCAATCACTTTGTGTCGCGGAGGTTTGTGCGTTCCTGACTCATTGCGCCCTTTTGACACAAACTGCCTGTCAGGCGAGCGATTCACTTTTGGTGCCTGTGTTGACCGCCAGTCTGAGGTTAGGAACACTTTAGGATGTTCGGGACCTGTGTCGGGAGGTAGGCTTCCTCTGGTCAGGGCTCACGAGGTTCGACTGGGATCCAAGACCTCCAACGCCAGGCGCATGGGTAGGCACCAAGATCCAACAGCGGGCGCTCGGAAACGGTTGCCCAGGGTTTCTCGATACCAAGGCAGGTGCAGTGAGAGGGATCATGAGGAGGCCCAAGTGTTTAGGAGCATGCCACGTCAGTGGGAGACTTTTCTGGGGAAGCATCCTCACCGTCAAGCTTCTTTGCAGGGGCTGCGAGCGAATTTTGATCGATGCGGGGAACAATCAAAATTGGGGAAACTCTCGCACGAGCGTGGCTACGCGTATTTTGGGGCAACGTAAGCGCTTGACGGTGAACGTGGAGAAGAAGAGCCGGCCCCCGCGCTGAGGAGGCCCGAGCTGCTGAGGAGGCCCGAGCTGCTGAGAAGGCCCGCCAAGCTGAGGAGGCCCGCCACCGCCGAGCTGAGGAGGCCGGCCGGCCCGCCAAGAAGAGGAGGCCCAGGAACCCCACCAAGCTGCGGAGAAAGTCAGGCTGACCACGGCGAGGCAGCTTTTTACCAGGCTGCGAGGCTGCACAGGCTGCCCTTGCTGCACAAGCGGCCCAAGCCGCGAAGGAGGCCCAACAAGCGGCAGAGGCTGCCGTCCAAGGCTGTCCAGGCTGCCGAGGCTGCCCGAGCTGCCAGGCACAAGGACAACAAAAGGCAGCACGGGAAGAAAGAGAAGGAGCAGCTAGCTGAGAGCGAGGAAAAAAGAGAAGGACAAGGAGA